TAACATTCTAATATTAATTCCACCAAGTGAAGTGCAAGAATCCTAATTATTGAAGTCCACCTTATCACAACCCGCACACCCGATTACCTATATATATATATGAACTTACGGTTACAGCTCAACAGCTGGCCTCTGTAGCTCAGTTGGTTAGAGCGCTGCACCGGAATCGCAGGGCCGTAGGTTCAATTCCTACCAGAGGACCTTGTGCTGCATTTTTCGCAGTCGTTCCTGGTTAGGTCTTAAAATGTATATAACCACTTGGATTACAAACCCTAACATTCTAATATTAATTCCACCAAGTTAAGAATATATACTAAGTGTTAGAACATAATACATGCATTAACTAAGATTACTATACTGTCTAAATTACTAAAAAATAATTATATGATCTTTTCGTTAAGAATATAAAATTACTTTATGTCATGTATGTTGACAATTATATTAAAACAAGAACTATACAAAGTATACTATAAAATTGCTAATACTCTTGTTAAAATAATAACTTTATTCTGTCATTATACTGTTTAATAAGATGTGTCTTTAATCTGGTTTCAAAAATAGGCAAGGTCTCACTCTTTCTAAAATACTCTGGCAGTTCGTTCCACAGTTTCGGTGCAGCATAGGAAACGATCGTTTACCATAGTTCACTAGTTTCACTGGGGGTATGGTAAGCAATCCTTTGGATGAGGAACGTAAATTTGCTGATGGTGTGTAAAGTTTTAGCATATTATTAATGTAATGTGGAGCTGAACCATTCAGAGATTTATACGTAATAAGAACAATTTTATAGATGATGCGTTGACTGATGGGGAGCCAATGTAATTTTTTCATTAATGGAGTAATATGATCGTATTTTTTGCTTCCTGTCACTAGTCGAGCAGCACAGTTTTGCAAATTCGGTAACCGATCAATATGAAATTTAAGCAATCCGTATAATAAAGAATTACAATTATCCAGTTTCGATGTAATAAAAGCATGAACTAAAGTTTGGATATCTGACGTTGATCAGAAATACTCTTTTATTCTTGCTATTTTTCTTACATGGAAAAAACTGTTCTTGCAAATATTGGTAACATGTTTATCCATAGACATGTGTTGGTCGAAAGTTACACCAATGTTTCGTGCTGAAGTACTTGGTTGAATTCTTGAATTGGACACTTCTATATATTCTACAGCAGGGCATAAACGATTTCGTGCATTGATTACTAGCAGCTCGGTCTTGTTCCCATTCAATTTCAATTTATTTTTGACCATCCATAAATGAATCTCTTTTACACACATTTCAATTTGAGCCAGTACTCCCAATTTTTCTTCAGTGGTTGAGTCAAAACTCTTGACGAAGGGCCTTCGCTCGAAACGTCGAATTTCTGCTTGTTTTTAAGGTAGTAATATAACCACTCGGCACAATATAATTGTGAGTCATCCGCGTAAAAGTGAAAATCAAGACCATGACCTCTGATGATATCACCAAGGGGTGAAGTGTATAGTAAATATAATATAGAGCCGAGAACTGATCCTTGTGGGACTCCACAGCGCAAGTCTTTAGAGATAGATTTAACACCATCAATCACTACACTTCGCGTTCTATTTTGAAGATAGGACTGAAACCATATCAACACTTGCCCATCTATCCCAAATCTTTTGAACATTCGTTGTAATAAAAGTTCGTGATTAACAGTATCGAATGCTGCTAACATATCTAGTATATCTAAATAGTCGATAATAAAGTCTCCCAGTAGTATCGTTTCTCTATTTAATAAGTACGCTCTCTCGACGTTTTCCTCCAGTTTAGCATCATCATCCTTAGAATAAGAAGGAGGGCGATAAACTCCCGCAAGACGCATGGACCTGTTCGATTTAAACGGACATACCTCAAGCCAATAGACCTTTCCCCCTTATGAGTGAAATTTTGATCTAGATATGCCTGGACAAAAATTTCATCACAGCTTCAAAGAGCATCACAAAATTAGTAATATTCCGAAGTTTCGTTGCGAAATGTTGTAAAATGCGGATAATATAGCCTTGCGAAGTTTGCCGTTTTTCCGTCATTTTGCATTACAAACGGGAAATTGATAATCAGATGATCAAACTGATTATCAATTTCCCATTTGTAATACAAAATAACTGAAAAACGGCAAACTTCTCAAGGCTATATTATCCGCATTTTACAACATTTCGCATTTCGCTTTTGTGAGGATTTCAAGCTGTGATGAAATTTTTGTCCAGACTTGTCTAGATCAAAATTTTACTCAAAAGGGGAAAGGTCTATTGGAAGTACTTCCAAGTCAGATTGTTCCAAATCTAGTCTCGTCTTTACCTTCAAGTCAGTACCAACATGTGCCAAAATTCCACCACCATGCTTTTGGTTCTATCTTTTCCAAACAAAGAGAAGCCCTCTACAACATGCAGTGAATCTGGAACATCCGATTTTAAAAATGTTTCGTTCAAGAACATGATATCCACTTGCGGTCTGCCGTCCTTCTTTGATAAATACAATCTAATTTGGTCCATTTTAGCAGTTGTCAAGCGGTTTACGTTCCAATGATCAATTATTAATCCAAAGAGTGTTTGCATGTAACGTCATAAAATTTCTAAAAGCTTAAGCGTTTAACATATATAGTTGCCTATTTTATATATTTTGTATATCCTGACTATAAAGAATTCCTGGCATATTTCAAGACGATACAGTCATTCCTTCGCGAGTTAAAGGGGCTTGAATAATTTATATTGCTGACGTCAGCATTATTGGACCAGGAACTGGTCCCCAATCGCTGCTAATCTCTTTTTATTTTTTTTTATTTTTAATTTCATTTTTAACAAATTTTATTTGGATCGCTATTCACAATTTTTAACAAACAAAAGAATATAACAGAACAAATATTACATTAAGTTAAAATAACCTAGATATCAAATGTAGATCCAAAAAGGTAAGGTACTAACGGGACTTTTATAAAAGGTCCCATGCAAGGCACCCACCTCTAAAATAGTAATCATGATAACAAATAGAACATCGCGAACTCAAACTCGCTAAAGGATTCATGATCAGGCAAGCAAAAAAATAAATGGAATAGTTAAACTCGAAATTCAAAATAGTCACCGCTTCAGAGAGTTTGAGTAAACGTGGCTCTATTTCCTGAAACTGGGCGTGTCAAGTAAACTAAGAGACAGATTGAACATGCATGTAAAGGTAAAGGCCAGCTTCCACACATTTGTGTTGATTAAATTCAGTTAGTTCGCAAAACAAACTGAAAACTTCCCCCCCCCCCGATCCTGAAGACCCCCCGAATGGAGACTAGCCTTTACATGATAGACAGAAACATATTACAGACAGAGACAGGCAAATATACAAACACGACAAACTGACTTAACTATTTCCTGTGGCAAGGACAGTCCCGTACCAGTGACCACGTACAAGATAACTCAACATCATAGACTGACTTAACAAGTTCGGTATATTTACGTTTAAGATAGTTTTTAAAGGAGATCGGACTGGAGAATGTATCTGGATCAACGTCTTTACATATACAGTTCCATGGTTTAACTATCCGGTTGAAGTATGACGATTGAAAGGTCGTTGTTCTACACAAGGGTGTTTGAAGCACAACACTAGCAGCTTGACTGAGTCTAGTGCGTCTATGTTCAATGAATGAAACATAACTGTCCATTTTAAGGTCGATGTGGCCATACAGCATCTTGTAGAAGAACACGAGATCTTTGATTTCTCTGTCGTATGTGAGAGGCAATAGTTTCAAGGTCATTAATCGTTGTTCGTAAGGTATTTCACCAGTCTTTATTCTTAATATCCATTTTGTCGCTCTCCTTTGAACTCTTTCAATTCTTCTGTTCAGTTGACTGTGATGATTTGAAGACCAAACTTGTGTTGCATAGGAGAGTTGTGATTTAACTAGTGTCAGATACAATGAACGTCTGATGTTGACGTTTGTTAATGATAAGCATGTTCGTTTTAGTACACCAACTTGTTTATTAGCTTTCTACACGATCTCATTAACGTGAGTCTCCCAGTGAAGTTTGTAGGAGAGGGTTACTCCAAGATCTTTCTCGTTTTCAACTCTCCACAAATAATTTCGACCGAGGTGGTAGGGATAGGTAATTGGATCTTTCTTACGTGTCACCGACAGTACCTTACATTTAGAAGCGTTAAATATTATGTTGTTGTCTTGAGTCCAAATGTCTAAGGTCTGCTGAAGCTTTTCACAGTCCGTTACCGATCTTACGTCCTTGTAAACCTTCGTGTCGTCTGCAAACAGCGCTGGAGATGTTCCATCAGTCACTTCAGGAATATCGTTGATAAAGATTACAAAGAGCACAGGTCCCAGGATACTCCCTTGCGGCACTCCAGATATAACGGGGGCCCAACGTGATGCGACACAGTCTACAACGACTCTCTGACGACGATTGTTAAGGTAATCAGCAAACCAACCTAGAAGGTTTCCAGTCACTCCATAACATTTGAGTTTCGGAAGAAGAATAGAATGGTCAACAGAATCAAATAGTAAACAATATCAGTCTGTGTGTTCTTGTCCAGATTTTTTCCAATGGTGTGGAATACTGATAGAAGTTGTGTTACGCAGGAGCGATTTCTTAGAAATCCGTGTTGATATGGAGTGATGAGATGTAAAATATGATAATAAAAGTTAGTGTAAAGGCACCGTTCTAAAACTTTGCTCACAATGGGGAGCAGGGAAATAGGACGATAATTTTCTGCGAGTTCTTTTTGTTGTTTCTTGTGTATCGGAGTAACGTTTGCCGATTACCACTCTGAAGGGAGTCGACCAGATTGCAGTGAGTGGTTGAAGATATCGCATAGACTTGGCGCTATTTGTCCAGCGCATTCCTTTAGAAGCCGGGATGGTATACCATCGGGACCGCTTGCCTTCGACGTATCCAAACTTTTCAAACAATCGGTAACTTCGTCTACACTGATTACTATGTCCGAAAGTTGCAGTTCAGTTCTTAATGGAGGTGAACGGGTGACAGCCTCTAGGTTGGTACTTGATCGAGGAGATGTAAACACAGAGGAGAAGTACGTATTGAAAAGTTCTGCTTTATGGGCTGCGGTCTTTGACGTTTCGCCGTTAAAAACTATTTCAGGTCGATTGCTCACCCGATGACGACGCACTGACTTGTGGTATCTCCAAAACAGCTTTGGATTTTCAGCAAAGGAATCTTTAACTTTTTCAAGATGATCACGATGTTTTTGTCTGACTAGGTATTTGACAGATTGAGATAGAGTTCGCAGTTTTTGTTTTCCAGCATTTGTTCGTGACTGTCGAAATCTTTTTAACGCAGCATACTTCTTCCGCAACAAATGTCTTACCTCTCCGTCGATCCAGGGTGGCGAGTTTGTGTCTGTCACAACTTTCATAGGAATAGAATTTTTCACATGCGTGAGAAACCATTCTTTCCAACAATTCCAATGATGGTCAATATTTTCTGATGGCATATCTTCGAAAGTCGTATTATTCAAAGCATTCCGTAGCTGTTCGAAATTTCCACGCTCGTAATCAAAGATTGTCCGTTTAATTGGTTGAGACCGAGAAAAATTCTGCTGAATTGCGAACTCTAAGATATAATGATCAGTTGGATAACCGTATTGTTCAGGAGAAGTTGTAATTACATTCCTAATAAGTTCAGGGTAGTTGCAGAGCAGTAGATCAAGTTTATTACCATCACGATGGGTAGAACCGGATATTAATTGTTCAAGGTAATAATCACCAACTAACTCACAGAACTTGTCTTCCAGATGACCTCCGGCGCTGGTTGGACTTGGATGATCCAGAGACCAGTCGATCGCAAGGTTGAAATCCCCAGTAAGAAGAACGCAGGCGGACTCAGGATTGTCGTCAAGTGATGAATTTAGTTGTTGTATGGAATCCAACGAAGAATTTGGAGGACGATAGAAAGTGTAAAGTAAGATTGATTTCATATTCTCTTGGAAAAGTTCTACTACGACAAATTCAACATTATTTCTTTCAAGATCGTAGCGGCATTTTGTGCGAATAGTGTCTTTTACCGCAACTAGAACGCCTCCTCCCGTTCTTCCCAGTCTATCTCGACGAAAGATGGAATAACCTGCTAACAGTTCACTGTTAACTCTTGTCGTTGTCGTTGTCGTTGTCGTTGTCGTTGTCGTTGTCGTTGTCGTTGTCGTTGTCGTTGTCGTTGTTGTTAGGGTGCGACGCTCTTTGAAAAAACCCTAAGGCTCCGTCATTACTTGTCTGATCGGAATGAAATTTAACACAATTATTCTTAGCAATATTCCGCATCGATTGACGGTGTTCGATTTTTCATTTTTGACTATAGAAGCAAGATACAAGCAATTTTTTACTGTATTTGTAGCAAATAATATATACATATTATTAATATTCAGCAAATATATCAGCAAACGCAAACGATAAGAAATACATTGTCTTGTCTATTGTTGTGAACACAATTACAATAGTCTAAAGCCCTGATTCCACGGGCGCTTTTTGTCAGCGAAAGGCGAGATATTTCGACTGTTTCTTTTGAATTGTGAGCAATCAAGTAGAAATAATTTATTCGAGTGGTCGCAATTCAAAAGAAGCAGGCGAAATATTTCGCATTTCGCTGACAAAAAGCGCTCGTGGAATCAGGCCTTAAAGCTTTTCGAGAATGAGAATGTGAAAGCGTATAAGTGACTAGTAAATTTAACACGCGCTGGCTTAGTTTCTCAAAGCGCAGAGGAGTAATATTGCTATCTGGCTATTATACAGTACAGTATAATATTCTTCATAGTCCGATAGAAAATCGTGAACCGTAAAAACAAAGACATGTAAATTAGCACAAGCATGCAGTTATGAAGCCATGACTAAGCGAGATGAAATTGCATTAACCTAGCAACAATTCAGATAACTTGTTACCTTAACTTAAGCCTCGTACATGGCACGTGCACGACTGTAGCTGCAATATTTTGCAATTAATGGCACACACGGCACGGCAAAATTTGATGTACGGCAAAAGTTAGCTGACTTAGGCACGGCATGTTTTTTCTAAGTATTGTGGGACATTTAACTTATCTATCGAATTCAAATGCAAGGAAATACTTTTGAAAACTGCGCATTTAGTTACCAATGCTTTGTCCAGATTTACACCTCATTTATACACGGCACTAGACTGACATTTTGCCCGGATAAAGTATACCTTGCATGACCACATTAAAGCAAAACATTTAGCGAACTCAGTCTACGTTGCCAACTTCGAGAACATTAGTTTCACAAGTGTCTAGTTATTTGTTTATCAGGTCAAAGTCTCGAAGGTTTTGAACGTTTAACGATTTGCACATGCAAGATCGAAACTGGGTCACACAGTTCCAGGTCCATTATAGTACAATCGTACTTGTTTTGAAAGGCCGTTATAAGCTACGCGGTTTTCCAAACATAAGTCGAAATATTTCGGTGGGCTTTCAAAAGTTTTATATAATTAATATCAAACATAATTGTGGACCTGTGTGATAAAATATAACTTTTCTTGAGCATTTACTACACGGCCGCCATGTTGGTGGTCCAATATTACGCAATCTCAGACCACCAACATGACGGCCGTGTAGTAAATGCCCAAGGAAAGATATATTTTATCACACAGGTCCACAATTGTGTTTGATGTTAAGTATATAAAACTTTTGAAAGCCCACCGAACTATTTCAACTTATGTTTGGAAAATCGCGTAGCTTATAACGGCCTTTCAAAATAATGCTGACGTCAGGAATATAAATTATTCAAGCCCCTTTAACTTGCGAATGAATTGCTGTATCGACTTGAAATTTGCTAGGAATACTTGTAGTAAGTATATACAAAATATATAAAATGGGCAACTATATATGTTAAACGCTTAAGCTTTTAGAATTTTTATGACGTCACATGCAAACACTCTATAGGTGGTAATCCAAGATCAAATTGCGGGTAAGGGTCTGCATATTCAGTAGCTATCATCGTTGCAACAATACAGCCTGGCACACACGATGCGATTTTAGTCGGCCGATAAAAATCATTTGACTAAAACTAACAACATCGTTCTGTGTGTGGTGTCATTTTTAACCGTTGTTGCTCGATTTTAATCGGACAACATCAAAAGTTTTGAGATCTTTTGATATTATACGACTTTTATCGGTGGAATTTTAAGTATAACCAATCAGATTTCATACTGTGATGACGTGCTTGTATTTATTTGGCAACATGGCGGCTACAGTTCAGGGAGCGTATTTTTTTCGTAATCGTATGCGGAGTATACCGATGTATATATACAGTATATCGGTATGTCAAACGATTTTTATCGGCCGACTAAAATCGCATCGTGTGCGCCAGGCTTAAGGCAAAACAAATTTTCACTAGAAATATCACTATCGAGTAATATAGAAAAATATCGATAAGCTATGCGCAGGACGTTTTGTAATCAATCCTATTTAGTTTTCCAGGGTGTTCAGGGGTTACTATCAAATTGCAGAAGTTTTTTAAGGAGTTTCCTGGATTTCCATGGGTCGTACGAAGCCTGAAAGAATCTGATAAAATTTTTCTCACCGTGTCGTCCTGAAACGCTCTTGCCAATGTATGAAAAGCATACTTTAACGTCCAAACTAATAAAAAGATATAAAATGGTACGATTTAAAACTACAATGACCTCGTATGTGAGTGTTTTGATGGATTTTACTATGATGGTGGAAAAATAGCTCCAGTATAATGTCCTGATGAAATAAAATTATTGCACGATTGTAGTAGCACTAAGCTACCAAAATTCATGATGCTGAATGGAGAGTATAATAACAAGGGTGCGATAAATCGCGTATATATGTACAGCCTAGTACACCTTTTTCAGCCAAGTACCACGTAGGCACGAGGAAATCTTGCTATCTGCGTATTTACTTTGTAAACATATCAGCATATATAACCTTTCCAAGCCCAAGGTACTGATGACGAGAAACCAGTCAGCTCCAGTTTCAGATTCGCAGCTCCAGTTTCAGATTGAATCTGGAGCCAGAGGCATGGCGTTCGTGTTCGAATGGCTCTAACTCCACAAAGCCTTCACCCAT